AATATTCAGTTCACAATAATACAAAATGGAGAAGACTAGCATTCAGCAGCAGCATTTGGTATAAGTCATCTGTTATGGTTCAGACAATATACTTACATATAAATAATATACTTACAATGATTACATGATACAAGTACCAGCTGTTTCCACTACAGGACTGTATATCAGTTTTTTCTTTTCAGGGTTCAGTTTTTTGTTATGTTCTGAAAAGCTATAAATAAAACCCACAGAAACAGCTACAGTAGCCCTGACAATTACTACTTCACAACAGTGAAATGCAATTCACCTTTCCATCCTTCCCTCTCAGTCTCACAACGCTGTTTCTGATTCCCTTTCCCTGCGTTTCCACCTCTGTTTTTACGCTTTAATCTATTCAAAACCTCACCCCCACCCCCCTCCATGACTATGGCAAGGGGGTGGCATTATCCCTTTTCTTGTCTAGCGCTGCTTTTGTCAGGCTCAGAAATAATCATTTATTTTCTCTCTCCCTCTGTAACTGCTTTTATACAGTATGTAGAGAGAAATATATAAGCAAGTGGTTGCCATGCCAACCGTGTCCACCGCATTCAACCCCTCGTTCTGTGTGTGTATTTGTGTGTGTGTGTGTGTGTGTGTGACTGACAGAGTGCGTAACATAGGAAGAATAAAGGTTTAAGAAGACCAAGCCAAGTGAATGGTAATCACTGAGAACGAGGGGGGGGGATACAGAGATTTCCTCAAAAACATCAAATGATGTCTAAGGCAGGTAGCCTCCCCCGTTCTCCATCTTTTGTCTTATGTGCTGTATTCCCTCGGCAGTGCTTTTACATGTCTGGTACACTTTTATATTTGCTTTCCCTCGGTCTCCCTGTCAGCTGTAAAATGTGGTAATTATATGTTGAGCAAAATCCTCTTCCTCCTTCACACCCACACAAGTTGTGTTATTTCATAACCTTCACCTTCTCTCGCTCGTTCATTCTCTTGTTCTCTTCTTCTTAATTTCTACAGTATCATTGTCTTTTTCCCTCCATCAAGTTCACACAGCCTGAAGATCACCGGACGGATCACTTTGCTGATGTGATATTATTTTTTAAATCTGACTCTTTCTTAATTCCAGTTAAGAGACAACCTTGATTTAAATGTTCTGTGAAGCAACAAGTAAAGCTTGAAGATCTGATTTCCAGATTATAACAATCTTTAAGGCTCCAGTATAATCACTGCAATTTATCAAATATAACAGGTTTTTATAATTAGGGCATTTAGTAAGTTGATAGTGACATTGGTAAATATGTTTGTTGAGATATGTCTTCATGTTACAAATAAAAGCCATTAATGTGAAAACCTTAACCACAGTGATTTCAAGGAATCATTGAATTATTGTGCAGATTTTGGCACCAAGGTCCTCTATTCAGATCCAGTACTCTCCAACAATATTTAATTCACAAAGATGCCCTCATAAAATAATAAATGTCTCCTGACAACACAAAGTACTCCGTAACATGAACTGTGGTGGATAAAAACCATCACGATGACCAATATAATGCAAGCAGTTTCAATTATACAAAGGAGGATTTTCTTGTTGGAAACCGGCAGTCCAGTTGGATTTCTACAAGTTTCTTTTTCCAAATAATTTCAAAAAGCCATAAAAAAAAAACATTAACATTATAAACAATAGGAATATGCATGCTAACACTAGCACATATTATGCTCTTTGTTACTTCTTATATTTACTCCAAAGACAAACTTATGTGACAGACAGAAATCTGAATCTGAGTTACTTTTTACTCTTTGAATTGCTGTGATTTAATTTAAATGTGTCTTAGTTTGGAGATTGAAGTCATTGTAGTACCCTGAAGAGTTCCTACTTTTAATTTCTTTTTAACTCTTGACTCAAGATACATACTAGCTTGTACAAAAAAAATGTGCTATATAAAGATTGGTGTAGTCATGGTGTCCTGACCAGAGAATGATGTCCTTTGCCTGTGTTGCTATTGCAGCCTCTCTGTGATTTGTTTAGGCCGTGATGTATGTTAGTGCATGTGAGTACTAGTGTTGTTTTTGGCGGCCTGTTTTAATTTTAGTTTTAGTCTAGTCTTTGTGTCAAACTGTCATTTTAGTTTTTATTAGTTTTAGTCATGTTTATACTCTTTTTAGTCTAGTCAAGTTTCAGTCGACTAAAAGTCTGAGCATTTAAGTCTTATTTTAGTCAGAATTATCCATGACTATTTTAGTCTAGTTTTAGTTGACGTAAACTGATGACATTTTAGTCTAGTTTTAGTCAATGAAAATTGTATTTTAGTCCATTTGTAGTAATGCAATTCTATTTAACCCAGTTAATATAGTACAAGTACCTAGTATAGTATAGACAAAACCAAAATGTTCTTTAAGTCACCCATTTCTCAAGTCAAACAAGGTTATCTTATTATTATATTATTGTTACCTTATAGACTCAAGAATACATTCAATTCCAGACACAGAAGACGCTCTGATTTGAATTTACAACATATTTATTTTACCTACCAAACATGTACTAAGAAGTACACACACATACATTTAAATAAAATAAATAAATAAAATAGCTTTGAATGACAATGCCAGAAACAATTTACATTACATTCAAGTTTAACTTAAAGAGAGAGTTTTTATTTTGCAAACCACATTTAGTCCCGTTTTTAGACCACATTTAGTCCCGTTTTTTTTATTCGTCACATGACCACCATTTATGTTGAGTCTCGTCTCGTTTCCGTCACGTGATAAAGGTTCATTGATGACGATATTTAGTCATAATTTTCGTTGATGAAAGCAACACTACTGTGTACAACTGAGGAGAGCGACTGAAACTGCTGTTTTTCTTGTCTACCTCAGTGAATTATGTTTATTTCAATCAAACCAGAGTTAGTGACAAAAGGTAAAAATTGTACAGACTACAGTTTATCTTTATGGATTATATTGATACCAAATTGACAAGAAGACTGTTGACAAATAATGGCCTTTAGCTCCTGTTTTTACAGACAAGTTAGGAATAGTTAAAATATCATATTTCTTAAAGGGAGTTTGGTTGAGGGAGATTTTAATGGTATGTTGATGATAATGTCGTCTGATGTTGACTGCTGTTAGTTATTAAGTTGATAAATGGTTTAATAATGTTTACTGATTACTGACGCTGGCTGATCAGGCTAATTATAAGCTTATTTTACTTTGTTTCTAACAGCTGTAAATGTTGTGTGATTTTAAACTACTTTCCTAATTAAACATGATGTGCTTGTTGTTAATGGTGCTGCTGATGAAACATAGTTTGGAGAGTGCAGTCAGACTGGTTGTGAAAGATCTTGTAGTGTGTGACCCCCCATTGCTGATCAGTCACCTTGTGTGAAAACCACATCAACTTCAAGAATCCTAATTACAAGACTGAAAGTTGCATAGTATGAACTTTAAAAGTCTTGTAGAGTGTCCAAGGCTTAACTTGGTGGATTAAAGGTTTATTTAGACCAAACAAGTGTTGGTGATTGTTGGAAAAACAGTGCAAACTAAAAGTGTGTTTCTGTGTGTTTATCTGGATGGTAAAATTACTGGTTTTGTAAATGGAGTCTGTTCATAGGCCCCATTGTTATCGCCTGAGATGCTGGTGCTCAAGTGCAACATCTAGTGGCAAATGAATTTTGTATGTATAACCTTTCAATATAGCAATATACACCAATCAGCCATAACATTATGACCACTGACAGGTGAAGTGAATAACACTGATTATCTGGTAATCATGGCACCTGTCAGTGGGTGGGATATATCAGGCAGCAAATGAACATGTTGTCCTCAAAGTTGATGTGTTAGAAGCAGGAAAAATGGGTAGCGTGAGGATTTGAGCGACTTTGACAAGAGCCAAACTGTGATGGCTAGATGACTGGGTCAGAACATCTCCAAACTTGCAGCTCTTGTGGGGTGTTCCCGGTCTGCAGTGGTCAGTACCTATCAAAAGTGGTCCAAGGAAGGAAAAGCGGTGAACCGGTGACAGGCTCATGTATCGGACCGCAAAACTAAATTCCCAAAGTCAACAAAGAACTTTTACAATTATAGAAAGTAGCTTGAACCTACTCAACTAATACAAATTAAAACTAAACTAAATATACCTTGAAAACCAAACATACAGTACGTTACTAATGCATTACCCAAGCCAAAAAGACAACTGCAAAGAATCTCTATTGTACATTTATTTTTCCTCCAAGAGGTAGGCTGCATAACAAAAACCCAACATCAGCGTCGTATGGATTCTGTCATTCTTCTGTCAGGGACTCAAACACTGCTAAGCCTATTAACGCAACATTATTAAAGGATGCATTTCAAGGCTATTGTTCCATTTCTGGATAGATTCTTCCCATGCAGTCTGGTTTGTGCCAACTCTCTTGTATCCTGATCCCACAGAGATGTTTTTTTTTTTTTTTTACTTGTTATGTACTCCTTTGTTTCATGCTGTGAGTCCTTTTAGAGTTGAGTCGACTCACTGTCAGGAGCTTCAATATGACGTCAGGCTCACAGAGGAGGTCAATTAACAGCAAAATCAATCAGCAGAGAGGCTGGGTTAGAATGAGAAGCAGCGCTGAGCGGTGAGAGGCTGATGCATCTAATTTTTCCTCTTCATTTCCTTATTATCTTAAATGATCAAAATAAAACTATTATGATTACTTTTATGGATTTGTCATTACCTGAGAAATAAATTATTAAGCTATTTGTTTTCTGTCTGTGTATCTTGATTAAAACTGTTGCAGTTAACATGATTTTGCAGGTTCTTGAAGTTGGTTGTTCAATTTAATTTCAGAGACATGCCCCAAGTATTTTAAAATACGCTTCAGAAATCACATCCAAGAAACCTTATTGAGATTGTTGCTGGATGAAGACGCAACAACTTAAAAAAAGATGTCTATTGCCACTTCACTATTCAATCAATATTTGGTCTTGTTGATTGTGCAGTGTGGTTAAATTATTAATGTACAGTTTTTTCCCCCAAAAATGCAAACAAGTTTTCCTACCTTGGCAGCCATGACCATTGCGGAGCCTCCCCTGATGCCCAGGATGGGGATGTGTGTCTGGGCTGAGATGAAGTCCAGGATCTGAGCGATGGCCTCCTGGTCCGTGTCATCACCAAACACTACGCCTTGCAGAGAGTTCCTCGTCATTTGTGCGCAGATCCGATTGATGATACTCTTCGGGTCGGTCTCATTCATGGTGACCACCTCGACTTTTGGAGGATAAGGGATGTGGAGGAAGTCCTCTTTCTCAAGTCCAACCCCCAGCGTTACTTCACTAGAGTTGCCCACAAGGATTACAGCGATACTGAGTGAGTTGATCAGTTTTGGACTGATTGGGGGAAGAGCTGGTAAGCCAGGAGAGTATTGAGGAGGGATGACAACACCCCTCTGGGTGCTGCCTCCCCTCTGGCCACCTTGTCCCCCTGGGGCACCTCCAGGCCCCGTACCTGGACCTCCACCTCTGCGAGACTCGCAGACGGGCAAGAGGAGTATGGAGACGAGGATCAGTGAGAAAGACAAGGAGAGGAAGGGCAGGGTCACTCGAGGCTGAGAATAAGGATGATGAGGCGGCTGGTCTGGAGGAGGAGGCGGTGGAGGATGATGGGGGGAGGAGGAGGGGACGACGAAGCGCTTGTCTTGAAGACGGGAGGGAGAAGGGTGGAGGCTGACAAGCATTGTGGAGCAGTGTAAATGCCGTCCCTGGAGGGAAGGAGAGGGAAAGAGAGACAGTGGAAAATTATGTAGACTTCAGATTTGACCCAAAGTAGAAAAACATTAAAACATGAATGTGTAAAGTGTAAAAATCTCCAATTTCAAGTCCAACCTTTAAATTTGCTGGGTTGATATCATCTACCTCAAAATCCAGTACGCTCATTGAAAGATATAGCTGTGTTATTTTACTATCAAGTAAAAGAGGACTGGAGAAACTAATGCCACCTTTAGTCATATTCTTTGGTCTTTTAGAAAATCATACAAAACAAAATGGAGCATATCATCAGGTTTTTGTTCTGTATTAATCATTTTGTAAATTGGAGCAAAAAGAGCTAACCTTTGTGTGTACAAAAACACTTAAATTAAATGATTCAACTATGTTAACTATTCATTTATGTTAATATCCTACTAAATCAATAATCAGTTTGCTCTATTTTTATATACTGTATGTATTTCAGTCAGACAACTCATATTTGAAATGTTTATTACAGCAGTATAGCATATTTAGATTTTGGCGTCTAGGCTCCGACCTCATTATTTCCTGCAGATATGTTTACATAGAGATATTGGGGAGTGATGAGCAAATACCCTTAACCCCTAGCCGGAGCCTACAGGTGGATGCTGGGGTGGTGGTGGGGCTTACAGTGCAGCAGGCAGCAATAGCTTAGAGAGCAGCAGCAGCAATACGGATGCAGGGCAACAGCAGCATTGACAGAGCAGAGGGAGAGCTGGGAAATTGTGCAGTTTAAATAGACCGCCAGATTGGAAGGGTGCGCTTGGTTAGTGATTATGGAATAAGGCATGTCATGTGTGTAATCAGCGCAGCTCGAGTTGACTGCATGAACTAGCTCGCAGACTTCGCTCCATTCATGTCTATATGAATTTATCCATCCTTTAATTTCTTTTTTAACCTCTTTTTTCTTCTTATCTGATGGATACACATTGGGTAGAGCATGTTTTACTAACTGAAAAAATATTCTGTAATCACACCATCGCTGTTGCCTTGATGTTATGGATAAAACCAAAAAAGAGTATTTTAAAACTCCGGGATCTTAAAAAACACTGATGACTCAACCCCTTAATTGCCAAACTAAGTGACCCACATAGCCGGGTATCAAACCACACACTGAGAGACGCCTGCAAGGTCTCATAGAGCATCAAGTGACAACGCCACATCCATTATACTGTGCTATGACTTCCTTGGAGGAACCCTGTGGCACACATCAAAGACGAAGCGGGAAAGAGATAGTGAGTTATGTGTGTGTGTGTGTGTGTGTGTGTGTGTGTGTGTGTGTGTGTATGTGTGTTTGAGAGAGTGAGGACAGCACTGGGTGCATTTTGACAGATTGACAGCCTCACAGCTTCATGGACTAGCTGCCAGGCTAAGTGACCATTAGACACTCAGACTGGGCTCGACTGAGTCTCTTTCTCCCCTTTTTGTCTCTCCACCCCCCAGCCCACCCCGCCCCTCCCACTATGCTTTCATTACTTTTACCTTCCAAACCTGTTTTCCTTCAGTTGCTCCCTCCAACCTTCTGAGATCCCTTTGCTGCTCTTTGAAGTCAATGGCAGACCTATTATTTACAATTATTGCTATTATTTACTGCTCCCCTATTAGAAGCCATACAAAGAGCAGTGGAGTAGAGCAGAGAGGAGAAATTATGGAGGAAGGGGAGAGGAGAAAGAAAGTGAGAGAGAATGGGAGAGGCAGGGTGAGAGATGTAAGCAGAGGGAGGTGACAGGCTCGGAAAAACACAATTAGTCATAGCTTGATGTGAAAATTGTGGTTTCTTACTCTGTGTGCATGTGTGTGAGCGCACGCACATACAACTGTATCGGGAGTTCAAATTTGGGAGTATTTTCTGCGTAGATAAAGACGAGGAATCTTAATGAGTATATGTTCATGCTCATATTGTAAATTAAGCACAGAGGAGCACTTTAGGAGAGGGATAAATGAAGGGCAAAGAGTAAAAAGCTTGTTCCTCTTCTTTTTTCCACCTTTGCTAATCTTTTATTTATCAAGCACCCCATGTGTTGTGGAGCTGATCCAGTCAGCAGCAAAAACAAAAGTCCAAAGGAAACAAAGGAGAAAGAGAGAAGTTGTGAGGAGAACTGAAATCTGACAGAGGTAGAAAAACAGCGACAGAAAAGAAAGGAGTAATCTGTGAAATAGGGCGAGCACAAAGAGAAGAGGCCGGACAGTTTGGAAAATCAGACGAGGAGGAAATGTGATCTCCACATAAAAACAGTTTGTCTAAAAGGTCTAATTACCAGAGGTTTGTCAGGCTTAATTGCAGGTGCACATGCTAATTGTAAAGGAGCTGAAGAGAGAGAGAGAGAGAGAGAGAGAGAGAGAGAGAGAGAGAGAGAGAGAGAGAGGAGGAGGAAACGAGTGGGAGGAAGGCAGCAGAAAGAAGAGAAGTGGAGAGAGAAGAGTGGGGTGAGGGAGAGAATAAATAGAGACATACACAAAAGAGATGGAGGTGGAGGAAGAAACAGCAATAAGAAACCCAGAGGAGGGAGGGAGGGAGAGAGTGAGGGAGGGAGGTGTGGAAGGGAGGTGTGGAAGGGCCAACACAGCTGAGGGAAAGATGAAAAGAGGACATGATTAGCACAGGATGATAGAAGAAGAGTCAAGGGTGAGGAGGAGGTTAAAGAAAACTAAGCAAGGAGGAAAGAGATAGTCTCAATCCGCAGCTTGTTGAAGAAAAAAGGATAGAAATTTTGCAAAAGGGCTGATGAATCTACTGAGAGGGGGGCACCGGAGGGAAACTACAAGAAAAAAATCTTTAAAATAATACAAGAAGTGTGACAGTAAACTAGGGAGCAGAGAGAGACCCATTCGGATATGCGTTTCTGTATAACAGCAGTGCTCGGTTTCCATAGTAACAATTCAAATATGCCTCCACATAACACCCTGATGGACAGGAAGATATACACAACTTGCACACTCGCACTAATTCATGCAGTTCACTACATGCAGTGCGTGCCCTCTCCTAATAATACACAATTTACTTTTATCTAAGCTGGCGCATATTGCTGCGCCGACTCTCACTGACAAAAATAAAACGCTTGTAACATAAAATAAATAGCACAGTGCCTTAGCACAAATGTGTGCACGCACACCCACACGGACACATGCGAGTTAAGTTAATGCTCTCCTGCAGATAGAGATGATCCACTGCTCCGCCTTTTAGTGTACCTCACATTAAAAATGAATCTCCTAAAGGGCTACAGGCAAATAAACAGAAATAACACGATGGAGGGAGCATCCAGCCGGCAAACAGACTGAACAGGAGCTGCTCCAACATTTGGACTAATCAGACCTACATACAAAACATCTCCATCTCATTAACGGCCCCCAATTGATAACATTTAAATGCAGGGGGTGTCAAGAGTGGATCATATACTCACAGCATAATAGAACAAAAGTAAACCATCTAACACTGCATCGACGAATCCAAGTTGACATATACATTTATGTGCTCTTGTGTGCCCATTACACCACTTACACAGTAATTACAATAACATATGGAGTGCAGGGAAAACATGCATAAGTGCCGATGAACGGCTACACAGAACACCCACATGTGCGCATTGCTTGTATCCAGTAATTTACTGCAGACGTGACTAACCTTCTACCCTGTGCTCCAATGAAGACACACATGCATGAACACTGAGCTGGCAGTGGTTTGAACGTTCACACTGCAGGTCAAGTAACTGACATCTGAGCCCTTCTGATAGCATATAGGGCTTTTGTTTTTCCAACAAGAGCAGACTTGCTTGTCCTTATACCCGTACAGGCAAAAATACACACACACAGACACACACACACAAATGCACACACAGTCAGGTTCATGTGCATACAGCAGGCCCTGGGTTAAGCTGGATCATGCCAATAAGATGGAGGCATCAGTCACACTTAACATTTACAAAGAGCATTGATCACAGAACTCTGTCAAATGGCACAAACCACCAATAGAATAACCAGAGCTGCTTGAAACGCGTAGCTGCACACACTCTCACACTCATGGACTTCCAATCTGCCAATAAAGATTCCACATGATCAATGAACCGCGGGCCTCAGTCAGCTCATCAGTTCCCACAGTAATGAATATATGTGGACACCAATGGTCAGATGTTTTTTCCTGAGATATATATATAGAGGCTCCAAGCAGCTGCCTGAGAAACATTAAAACTGAATCTGCCACGCTATTTAAAACTCACGTAGGCCATCGTTATCAGGCTCTACTATATCCCTGGAGACTTGATGTGGTGGGCTGCGCTGTATAGCGTTTGAAAGGCATTGTGGATAACATAAGCTGACAGGCATATCTATTAAGGAGCCCATTTACATTCAGTGGGCGGTCAGTTACAGGTAAGAGTGGTACTTTTGTCATCTCCACTGAATCACACACCGCATCATACATGATTTATAAATAATAACAAATCAACAAATAACAATGTGCTTTAATAAACAATAAAAAGGCATTTTAACACTACTATAGCTTCAATATATGCGCTCAGTGTGACCTGACAACCATAAAAAAAACTGAAAAATCTTTGAGAGTTGAGTGTTTTCATTTCATTTAAAAGGTCCAGATATCCCCCGAAGAGATGCCACAGCAGGTGACAATGTTTGACATTTCAGTTTACTGTCACAGCTTCAATATATAATCAATAATTCAAACAGTATTTTATTTTATTAACTAGAAACTGGTTTTTACTACAAATCCACCCAATATGTATCATGCCTTGTGGGTATGACACTAGAACCATTTCGGTTCTTTCTTTAAAAGAGTAACCACGTGTCACCATAAAGGCATTATAATCTTAGGGTAAAATGGACTGTTGTCTTTATATTCAACATCTATCCAGCTGACGGGCGAGTAAATTGTCTCACACATCACAGTGTCCAGAGAGGACTGTAAGAACACACAGTAAGAAGCTGGTATTCAAATTCCAATGTGGGTGACCTTTGCATACAA